ACAGAGAGCCTTAAGAGGCTGTGTAAGTAAGTCTAGTCCAGTTTACGGCTTCGTCGGACTTCATTTCTTCTTAATTTTTAGAATATCGGATTGAGAGGAACTGATGCGATACCCGGAAGGGGATATGATTTTGAGAAAGACTGCGATCTGAACACTGAAATCAACAGAGGTGGCCCTGTTAAGACAAAATGCTGCATTTTGAAGTATGGTGCCCCTAACTTACCGATAAGTTACAACATTTTCTTCACTTTTCTTTATATTTTTATTTATTTAACAATCATTTTAATTTTATTGAACATATTTTTTTTTTGTATACATATACTAGTTGAAGAAATTATTATTTTAGTGTAAGAGAATTTTAGTATAATTTTATGATAATTGATATATTGAAGTTAAGAATTTAATTTATGCAATTTCTTTTTATATTCCATAAGGTTTATTTATTTTATAATTTTTTTTTTATATTCTTGATTTTGCTACTAGGTTTTTTATTATTATTTGCAATTATATTTTAATTTATTGGGTCTGTCCATGTTATCATTCTAGCTCAAAAAAGAAAAGTCATATTTAAACCAAAAAACTGAAAATACATATTTAAGCCGGTCTATACCTGGGATATTACAGCAACATTTTCATTGAAATTGCCTAACGGGAAGTGCCACTTAATATCATCGGTTATATACGTTTTCTCAAAAACTGCTCTAACGATTTTAATTAAACTTGGTATATCAGTGTTTTATTAAGTGGTGTTTAATATCAGCTAGGTCTTATCCACATTGATGTCGTCTTACAGAGCTTAAATGCCCAATGTTATATTTTTTTAAGTACTTTTAATTTGGTTTATTAAAAAAAAACATTTAACTATGCATCCATGTTAGAAGTTGAAAAAATACTAAATATAACTTTTGAAACAATTTGATTTTTGAATAAATGAAAAAAAAATTATTATCGCGATTCAAATAATAGTCAGAAAGTATACGTAGAAGTCGTTGGAGGCGGATAATCTTAGAAAAAATAATATCTAATAAACACAATTTTAGAAGGTAACGGAGTGTGACGAAAAAAATATAAATAATAATTTATGAAAACTAGCATTATTTAATGCCAATCACATGTTACCAAGGAAATTAAATTAAATTTTCTTTCTAAATGTAAACTTTTAAAATTTTCTGTAAGTTTGAAAAAATATTTAAAATCCACTGAATCAAGGAAATGGCATTGTTTCAAATACTATTTCATTGTATTTTTGTGTGAAAGGAGAAGTGAAATATATTAAACATTTACTGTAGTTTAATAACTGTTGATTTGATATTATATTTAAATAGAGTGCACCAATGGGCAGTTTCTTAACATGTGTTTCATGTCATTATATCCATGTGCGAATTTACCAGATATATTTTTTGTATACTGTTGTAAATATCATATAAATAAATATTTTTTTTTAAATAATTAGGTATCTATCGTCCGTTTATTCCAAAAAATCATCATGTTTTAGAAAATCAAATTCGTCAACAATTAGAAAAATTCTCATTTTTGTCAAATCACAACATTGTCTACTTACAATTAATTTGTCAACTTCTCAAGTATCGATAGTAGGCAAGGAAAATCTCGGAACTCAGTTTTAGTAAACTTTATAACAGAAAAATAATAGTTTAATGACTAATTGAAGTACAACCCATAATCATTTATTGGTTAAATATACAGATGTACTTTCACATCTTACTAGGCATATATAGCTTAGCAACTTGAGTTTTGTGGTTATAAAAACAAATAGGTTTTTATTGCCTACCGTCGATGTAATAAATATGTTTCTGTGTCATTTTAATGGCATTAATGAGTTCTTTGCTGTATTCCTTGAGCATTAGCTCCGTTAAAAGTTCCTTTCATTAATTTTATAGTAGCCCAACATTACCAACAAATAATTTTTATTCAAATTAGAGCGGTAAGTGAAAGTTGTGTGAGGCAAGCACCAGATTTTTAAACGACGTAGCGCCAAACTTTTAGAGATTTCCTTTTCTTTATTATATATTATTTCAATTCTAATTTCTCTTCTTTATGACCCACCGCTTTCTTCACTGAGCTTGACAAAAATTTAAATATTACTACATATATAGGTGGCCTCTCATCGAAACTTGGAGACAGACTGAAAAGAATCATGAATGGCTTAGTAAGTAAGATTTGTCAATGGAACCCCGAGACGTTCTCGTGTTTCCCACTACTACGCCGAGTTAGGGTGGCTCTTTCCCTACTTCAGAAGACAGTATTTCCTAGGTATATTTCTTTACCAAATAATCTATAATCATCGTCCGTCCTACGCATTCAATCTCCTTCAATTCAAGTCATCTCCACAAGATCTCGTCATTTTGACCTTTATACCCCTTTCCACAAATCTGCCTCATTTCAACACTCCTTTATTGTCCGCTCCACCACATTTTGGAATTCTATCCCACTTAAAATCCGCCATGCACCATCCCTATCCACATTTAAAACCCTCTTATTCTAATTCCTCCTTACAATTCAATCAAAATTGCATTTGTATCTATGTAGCATTTGTATATAAATATAAATTCTTTTTTGAGTATGGAAAAGATGTCCAGTCCCATTTGCTAAGAATTATTTTTTGGCCAGTTTTTCAATATATAAGATTCTAAGTATTTGAGCTGTATTTAATTAATTACTAATATTGAATGCACTCCTCTATATGTGCATCATCTTTTATTTTCTCCGATCAATCTAACTCTTAGGATATCGATTATATTACACTTTTATAATGTTTACAATGCTATTATTGTATTGAATGTGTTCAAATACATTAAGGTAAAGATGTAAATCATTTATAGTAAATATTTATCTGTTCTTTTATTATTATTTTTTTCATTAATTCAATGGTATGACACTGCAAGTAATTTATAGTGCATTTCACATTTCATTTAGTGTCCCATAGTTTATTGTCTGTAGCAACTATTTTGTAATATTATGACCATATTGCTCATATTATTTCTTTAATATATCTGTATAGTTATGCAAATACTTCTGTTATTACTTAGTTTTTAGTTATTACTTTCCTACCTATTACTAGGTAAGGAAAGTATTGGAAAGAATTTCTGATATGAGGTTTTCGACGGATCTATACGTTTCAGAGCCCCCTGAATCCGAAAAACACATTTTTAACCATTGGTATTTCTGTCTGTCTGTCTGTCAGTGCCAAGATTTTCTCGGGAACTACTGAACCGATTTTGTTGCTTCTTTTTTTATTTTCTAGGGTTTTGACTACTGATGCCAGTGACAGAAATTTCTTACTCCATGCGCAATAGCTTACGGGCAATAAATGAAAAACATGTTTTCCTATAGACTGTAGCGCGAAAACGGCTCTAACGATTTTTATGAAACTTTGCTATAATTTTCCAATCATTGTCCTTTAAATTTTCCTACATAGACTGAATTCCCGAAAAAAAAGTTGTAAAGAATAGAAAAATGTAATGGGGCCTAGCTCCTTAAGTATATATTATACGGTAAAATTTACAATAAAACTTTTGAAAGGAAATTAAATTAACAACAAAACAAAAAAAAATCATCGGAATCGAACCAGTATTAGCGATGATAAAGCTTATTCTATTTTTTAACACATTTTTTAACTTATTACTTTCCTACCTATACTAGGTAAGGAAAGTATTGCAATCGGGTCAAATTTCCGATATGCTGTTTTCGACGGATCTATACGTTTCAGAGCATTATATATTGCTGTGAACGCCCCTGTCGTTAGACTGTCGTTTAAAAGGTAATACAATTCCCTACAAATCCATATAAAAATCGTTCATTTTGGACAACTATTAACGAAGTTACAGCTATTCAATTTCCAATGTAAGATTATGGTTACATATCCTGGTGTTAGAAAGGGGTGAATAAGAGAATGGAGATGACTAACTGAAAGTAAGAAAATCTGTTGCCGCATCACAAAATCTTAACTATTTCCTCTACTTTCAACAGAAATTATTGTTTGACAATACTAAGCTATTGCAAAAAGTTTTTGATCAGCAATATTAGTGAGTATTGAATTTTTTCCTCTGATCTATCTTAAGCCGGTTTACATTGCTTTATTTTATCACATAAATTGTACTCAAATCTTTTGTATGATCAAGTTTCAGGAAAATAAATATAGTTCAATTCTTTTTTGTTTCTTCATGAACATATGTAAAGATATAAAAACATTTCTGAAATAGGTAGGAAAGTCGTGTGAGTGGACACACCAGATATTTTTACGTATATATGTAATATATAGTAAGGGTAAGTATTGCGATCGAGACAATTGTTGAATCTGAGTTTTCAACGGAAATGTCCGTTTTGGAGTACCCTGAGTCCAAATAACCAAGTCCCGAAAAATGGTCTGTGTGTCTGTGTGTTTTTATGTAAGCAGTCTAGCTCAAAAATGAATAGTCCTACGAAACTGATATTACGTATTTAAGATAGGTATATGCCTTAGATGTGACAGCAACGTTTTCCTTAAAATCGGCTCACCGGAAGTGCCACTTTATATCAACGCTGAAACACATTTTCACAATTTTCTCAAAAACGGCTCTAACGATTTTGATTAAACTCGGTGCATCAGCGTAAAATTAAGTGGTCTTTAATATCGATTAGGTCTTGTCCCCATTAATGTCACCTTACAGGGCTTAAATGCCCAATGTTCATATATGTCTTCCTCTAAAGTACCTTTAATATGGTTTATTTTAAAAAGATAATCATTTTACATTATTTAGAGATAGGAAAAAATGCTAAATATAACTTTTGAATGAATTTGATAAGTTAATAAAGGAGAAAAAAATTAAAATGTAGAAAAACCTGCGTTGCTATAGACTGTAGCGCCTAAACGAATGTACCGATTTCAATGAAACTTCTCTAAAGTAATTTTCTCGACAACCCTTGAATTTATCTATATAACATACTTCAACGAAAAGAAGCTGGAAAAAAAGTTACGAGGGATGGTAATATTAAATTCCAAATAACTCAAAAAGCATAAACTTTTTTGTAGATATTGTGATAAGATGTTTCAAAGGTATTTAAATTTCCTAAAAAATTAAAGAAGTTTAATCGAAATCAAAGCACTATTAGTAGAGATATCGTGATTTTAATATATTTTTACTTTCACTTACGTATATATGTAATATATAGTAAGGGTAAGTATTGCGATCTAGAAATTTTTTTTATTGTAGTATGTATTTTGGCCAGATGGTATGTTAATTTTTATCCACAAAATAGTCATTCTTAAGAGACTTTGTCCCAGAATAAAGTTGATTCTTCTAATCTATTCTATAGAGGCAATACAGTTTTCAAGAGCAAAGCCATCACCCTTTTCGATATTTTTTTCGTCGAGGGATTTGAACTAGGCTCCCAACTCCCTAGATTATTCTTATTTCCTGTAGCGGAGGTTTGAGTTACAGCTGAGAGAGATGCAACACGCCATAAATCTGGCGCGCGTATTGCATTATCCCGCGCGCGGCAACGGCGCATGAACGGCGGGAGATTGCTCATTGCCTGTTGGGCCAGCTGTGGGGGAGCACCTTGCGCTGTCAGATCCAGTCTATGACGTCTATCTCCAGGGTCCGGTAAGCAACGACGCTCATCACTTTAATAACAATCTGGAAACTGTCCTTAGCCGAAATAATGCTCCAAACTTAGCCGAGTGGACTAAAATTTTAATTGCACTTCAAAATTAATTTTATAATTGAGTTTGAGAAAACACTAGAAGGAGTTTTAGAAATTATTATTATGATAAATAACTGATTGAAAAAAATAAACAATACAATTCAAATGAAATAATTCAAAGAAATTGAAAATATGTTCGTTTTTTCTCTGTGTTTTTTTATTCTACTTTTAATATAAACAAAGACATGAAATTCCTTTTTTTAAAAATATTATAAGATATAAGATAAAAAAAAAAAAATGTTTACTAGTAAAGACAATATGCTGTCTATCTTCTGTGTAGCTTAGTCATTAATATATTAAATATTCAAAACAATAAAGGCTATCATCTTCAAAATAGTTAATAATGCGGGAATACACGTTATTAATTTTAAAAAATATATATCATGATTAAGTTGAAAAATTTTTGAGAAATGTAAATTTTTTTTTGTATAATTTCACATATTGTCAATATAAACAAACAAATGAGTCATTTTTAATAACTACAGTTAACTTTTTAATTCAAATATTATATGTTTTAATAAACTTTTGTAATTAATTAATTAATTATAAAAATAGACTAAGACTTAATGCAAATTATAACTTAAATACAATTCAATTAAGAAAACGTTTTTACTTTTGAAGATAATGCTAGACATTATACTGCCTGTGCTCTAAGCGAGTTAGTCATTTATGTATTAAATATTCAAAATAATGAAAGCAAACATCTTCGAAATAGGTAATCATGCGGTTTCATTGGACGATCTGCAATGCTAATTGACATTATTAAATAATTAATTGCGATTATGATATATTTTGTCATTATTGATATTTAGATATAATTTGGCACGTCCAAATTAATAATTTACCAAGTTTTTGGCAAATAAATGAATAAATTATCACATCACGAAAAAATGTTTCCATTGAGCGCAATATGCTTGATAATTTCTCACTTGACTCTACAAGAGCTATAAACAAATCAATCACAAATTTTAAATGAATGACTATTATCATTTTAAAAACACGTACGTAATTATTATAAGTGAATTCGAACAACTTTAATGTGATTATTAGCCAATTATTGTTTCCTCTTCGATTTTGAGGCGGAGAAGTTTGTCCATTAATTGCAATATGTTAACGACAAGAAGAGATATTTAAGCTTTTAGTTAGCTTTATACATACACGGATCTGTTTCATATCATCAGTTAAATATAGAAAAGTTTCATGGTTTTCTCAGATAAGACAAAATTGTTATTAAAAAATTGAATAAAGCAGCTGTGGATCGAGAAATATTTCTGTTTCGATTCAGCCTCGGATGGAAAAATTCTGGCCTTTAAAATATTTCAGTTACATGCATAGTTATATTTTATATTAAAAAATATTTGTGCCGAACTAATTGAAATAATTAATTATATCAGTGACTTAATTATGATTAATTCTTGAAACTCCTAGTGGGGCATATATATTAATTTTTAAGTCGTTGTAGGTTATTTTATAATCTTCTAAGATTATTTTTTTAACTATTACGTTTCTAATTTAATGTAAATGAATATTAAACAAATGAAATATTTTTAGTTACCGAATTCTAAAATTCTAAAATTTTGTTTAAAAAAAATTAAAAACAGACATATTATTTTTTTTTTTTATATAATATTCCCTCCAAAAGTAATAAATATTTATATTTTATTGATAACCTTCTGTGAGGAACTGGGGTTTATTTTAAATCAATTCCCTCACAGTTTTGGAGCTTTATTTATTTATTTCTCTTCTGCATTTGAGAAATTCAAGTGCCCCTCTTGGGATCAAATGGACTGAAATTCGGTGTGGTGTTTTTATATGTATAGCTTATATTAAGCCAGAACAAAACCATCATTTTGGGGATTACATTTCAGTCAAAATATCGCCTCTCCCGTATGAATTAAATCAGAGTTTAAAAAGCGCATTCTTGTTGTCTCGGTAAAACTTTCAATTCTTTTTTGTTTTGATACATTAGATAAAACAAAAATATTATAACATTCTTGAAAACAAAATATGAAAGAGAAGTTCAGCAGTACAGTTTACTTTAAAAGGATCAAAGGAATAATTAAATAAATTATCAAAAAATTAAATAAATAAACAAAAGAGGAATAAAACATCTCTGTTGCTTTGCTTATCACTTTCTCAATTTATTTTATTTTTTTATGATTAATCAAAATGATAACGCAGTCTGAAATGGTCTAGATCAAGGCTTATCTAAACTGTTAACCTTTGCCAACCTTTGCATATTTAGAAGGTTCCATTGCTTGGCTGAGATTAAGATTCACGAAACATCGTAGAAATGAAATTTTAAAGTCTCTAAAATTTCTAAATAACGTACTTAAACAATATAATATAGAGCGAAACAAGTACCAATTCAGATTCGATCGATAGTGCTTAAGCAACATCAGTAAGTGGTTATAATCCAGTGGTAGTTTCAATCTAATTGCAAATGGCTGCTTGGAGAATTTCAGAGGTTAATTCCAATTGCTTCGACTAAATTGTAAACCTCATCGTGAACATTGGGGCAGGTAAACATGCATTAGAAATAAATTTTGAAACTAATTCAAATTGTTATAATTTAACTGTAGCTAATAATGTTTTATAACGCTACAGTTTTAAATGATAAATAATAAAACATTCGTATCATTCAGATCATTTGTTTTTTCTCTATCAAATACTAGTATAAATATTACAGTAATGAAAAGATTTGTAAAAAAAAGTCATATTAGAGTTTTCAAAATAATATCATATTTCAAGATAAAACCAAATCTCACTACATAGTATCAATGTTGCCTACATGCAAGGCCAAGACTCGTCGCACAAATTCTTGATGATACCCATGACACCCATTCTTGCGCAAGAGTCTCACAAGTAATAGGCCGGCCGCAAATTGAGCGCAGGGCAGGCGCAGCACAAGGACAGCAGATTTGTAACAGAGGAGAGACATAGCACCTAGTTCAGAGCCGTCTTCACAAATTGAATCTAGCTACTACGTATGTGCCTCGTTCCGATATATATCTGGAAGCTAAACTACTGTTACATCACCTCAACGGGGCAACAGAGGACCCAGTTCAGAGCCGTCCCAGTGCCCGAGGTAGCTTTGTTGTCCCTCTGACCTGTTGTGTTCCTTCGCTAACACATGTTCCTTTCCACAAAAATTCTGAAATGAAAAGAATATCATTCAACCTCGTTTTTTTTTTTTTTTTTTTTTTTTTATCTTTTCTAGAAATAATTAAAAAATTGATGAAACTTCCTTACTTGATTCACCTGTTGACGAAATACAAGATGAAAAACGAATGAAAAATACATTTTTTTTTTATGATGATGGGGGTTACGAAGCAGTGAAATTTCCGCAAGGACTGATAGAATTAAACAAATTATACTTCTTTTAATATTATATTCATTCATTCATTCATGTGTGGCACGACATCCCGTTACCGAGACTGGGCCTCCTCCAAGAGCCTCCGCCAGTTGGCTCTGTCTTCTGCTGCAGCTCTCCAGTTCCGAACACCAAGCAGGGTTCTCGCATCATAGGCCACGTTGTCCAACCACCTCGTCCTCGGCCTTCCTACCCGTCTTGCGAGGTGCAGCTCCTCCATCATTATTTTCTTGGGTATCTCAACGGTGCTCATTCTGGTCACATGCCCTGCCCATCTTAGTCTGGCCAGTTTAATATAGGTGACTACGTCGATGTCTGCATAGAGAGAACTGATTCTATAATATTATATAGAATTTATTATAATTTGTCATCGAAAAATAACAAACAAGGATTGAAAAATAACTGATTACTTAAATGTCTCTATAACAGAAAAAAAAAACCATATAAAAGTCTGGAATATCGGAAAAAAATGTATTTGTTATTTGTTACTTTATTTCTTGTTAAAGTTAAAATTAACAGCAAACAAAATCATTTACACTGTTTCATTTGACGTTATATTTATATTTTTACTAAATCTCCTGAGTTTTCATCTTCTCATCATTTTCGGGCATAAATTAAAGCATTAATATAAACACAATTACCTTTTTTATGATTAGCCTAAACTGTGACACAAATTATTAAAATAGATGCCGATTATGTGATTATTTATTTTTGTATTGTATAGGATTTGTCTCTGATATGACAGTGTATGATTGATAGAATCTTAAATTATTCATATTAAATTAAATTTTTAAAAATTGAAATTGAAGATATTTTCAACATCTATTTCGTAAAACTTTAAAAGTGGAACTAAAACAAATTCTAATTTATAGGATGTCGGAAATAAAATAGATGAGATATATAAAATAATTAATAATAAATCACAAACACTACACGTCAATTTAAAATAATTTATGCTAAACAAGTGAGACTGTAGGGAAGGAGTGTTCATAAAATCGATTATAATTTCAAAAGCTAAGCCTCCCATAACATAATAACAGAACCCTAGTTCGTTGAAATCTAAAAAGTTAAAATTAATCAATAATAAAAACCGGAGAGATTAATTTTAAAATCAATAGAGTTTTCAAAAACTACGCTTCCAATAATGTAATAACTAGACTCCTAAATCGAAGAAATGCTTAGTGATTTCATCTAAATAAAAGTATTTGTTAAATAAGAAATAAAATTAACTTTATTCATATACTTTTATTAAAAAAGTTTTGTTCAGTGAAGTTAGGAATTTTAATAATTTTTGTTTTCATTGTTCCTTTTTTATTTATCTTTGTCTTGAATCCTTGGATTTATTTGTTTGAAGGTCTAAATAAATACTTATTTAAATAACTTATTAGCTTTAATCAGGAATAGGTATATACTAAACTGGAAAGGCTCAGAACTTGGTCTTCTGTTGGACCTATGTTGCACCTCTGTTGCCCCTGCGCTCAATTTGCGGCAGTTACCTTGTCGGTTAAGTTAGTTAGCTTAATGCTA